GTTTAGAGATCTCCACCATATTAAAAGACTAATATTTGAACGAAGAATATTCTTTTCGATAAATTCTCGTCAGGTTCTATAACTATATATCCAAATTATTATTCCGGAAAATTGCCAGTTTAAGGGCGAAATACATCGTTTAATGCATGTGAATTTAGGATACAATAAAATTGTTAATGTTTATATGACTCATATAGAATGTTAACTTGAATCTGCATATATGATCAGGATAAATATGGGTCAGATAGGGTAAATTCGATCGAAAGTTTGGTGGAAGACTATATTGTGTGAGCGAGCGAGTTACGTGGGTTGAAGTTGTAGGAATTTGCATTTTCGTGCTCGTGAACACCTCTCACTCTTCGTTCAAATATTAGTCTTTTAAAGAAATACGCATGATATTATGTTACTGTGAATATCTTCTTCAAGAGTTGACTGAAGTAGGAAGTATACATTGTTTTGAATTGACATGATAATTTACTGATATTTTATCGTCTGCAACATTTGAGTGGTAGGAATTTCATTCCAGAAGTGGTTTTTAGTACAGGCTACTTTATAGATGTATAATAGGGTAACATATTTGTATTGAGCTTTTGGGCTTTCTACAACCAATGTTAGTTAATGATGTAAATTATTATAAGCAATTTATTATCGTTACAAGCTCAACTTATTCATAAACAATAATTAAATAGAGACCTTATTTCAATTAACAAAATAACAATAATGTTTATTCTACTTGTTATATTACTGATAGTAGTATAAATTTTAATCAAAATGAAACTCCGATTTGTTCTTAAGCTAGTGAATTACCGTAGTCGTTGCACTGTATCAAAGATTTGATATGATAGGAAATATTAATGATAACAATACTACTTTTAAAAACAATTTTCTCTTGATTTGGTATGAGGAATATACGGAATGAGATCAAAGTAACATCCAAAATGTCATGATGTGACAAGAACTACATTTGTTCAGTTACATATTCAACTATTCATTCCTATATAGTGAATGTAAGCTGATCGCTTATAATAAAAACAAACAAATGTTGATGTAATAGTTAAAAATCAAGGTTTATGTTATACTAACCAGTCAGAAGGTACGATGCACCTCAAAACTACCGCCCCTAAACTAATATTAATTTAGAAAATCATAAGATTAAAACTTTAACAGAACCAGATTTTATACGCACCCACATAGAAAATACAGTGAATTTGCAAAATAATTCACCCAAATCACACTTTAGAATTATGCATTGAGTCAGTAACTTACAAGAAAAAGAAAACTCTACCGCAATTGTTAGTTATTAATCTTGACCATTATTATTGTGAAATTCGTTATGATTTTTTTATTTATTACATGTTTAATTTTTTTCATTTTGGATCTGAATTCAACAGACGTTTTATTAAAAATTTAAAAAATCAAATAATTCTTGATTTGAAATTTGTCATAGTAACCAAATCAAGTCACTCCACATTTTTATTGATCAACCCACTAATTTGAAGTTAATGTTTGTTACCACCTGACAATGGCTTAAGAAACATTGACAAGATAGGTGTACTGGATAGACATTACATTTTAGCATACAACTTTTCATTAATCTCCATTCATAACTTTACATAGAACTGAACTCACAACTTTAAGATTTAATCTTTTATTGGTTCTTTGGTTTGAGTGCTTTTCATCTGCTGTCAAACTTAAAGGGAATTCAACTTAGAGAATGCTAAAAACAATTTTTAAAAATGCACATTAAACGTTTTAAATCACAAGACATCATTGCATATTACCTAATATCCTTACAACTATCCATTTTCTTTCTAATGAAAACTCATCGTCATACAGTTTTGTTTTCATATTCGTTCCATAAAACACACAACTCTTAATTATGAACCTTAAAGTATTTATTTGATTCTAATAATTCTAATTGTGCAAGATATAATTAAATCAATTCAGTATTTCTGAAAAGTAAGTTAAGTGTAGTTCATGAAATGATTATGTATTCCTTTTATTGTGGGTAAGTGAAGTATACAGATCACCTCAATAATGGGGCACTCTAAAAAATGAATATCAAAATGATGCATGTTTAATAATGCAGTTCAAAATTGCTTAAATCAATAAAAGGGAACATTGTTAAAGATGATTCGTTTAGAACCAAACATTAAAAATGTATAAATCAAGAGTAATTAGAATAAATACTTTCATGACGGTTGCAGAAGTCCCTAAATTATCAGGTACACACAGCAGAACTATCTCAACGTCGATGTTGAAAATTATGACCGTGTTGTTGGCCGACAGCTATTTTGAGTTGTAAATGCTCATCAGTTGTGGGAAGGTTGTCCTGAATTTGCAAATCTGTCACTTCACATCTGCATCCAATCGCCCTTGTTTGTCAGAGTCACCTTTCAGATACGTGGAGACGCCTACCACTCATAGAGAATAACTGTCAAACTTGATTTGATTCGTGCTAACGGTTTTGTGTTTTGAAATCTCAATTTCTCACTTGTGAATGTTGATACTTACCGCTTGACAGACTGCAGATACACTTATATTAATATAAGTAATGTATGACGTGAGTCAGGAATGGAATGTCTGGCAGCAGAAGATGGGGGAAGATCAGGAAAGCAAGAGCGGGGATAGAATGCAATTTGTATGAAAATGCAAGGACAATGAAGTCTGAGGCGTTTTGAAACAAGTGGTGGACATTTCGCAAATTAGCGATTTGATATATAGTTCTCAGATTTTATTGAGATGCACTGTAATTTTGTGTTAAACACATTCGATTGTCCCCACCCGTGTTCTGTTCACTACAGCATGAACATTCAACCAGGTTTTCCTATTCACACAGTCCAATGTCTTATTATAATCAAAGAAGTTGATGTACAACAACGAGCAACATCCAACTGATGATTGATAAATGATACTCAGTGTCGTGATTTGGTAGGTGGACGATCGATTCTCACGGACACTTAGACTGTTGGTGTCGTAGTCCAACGTCCACTAAATCAATCTTTCTGTTCGTTAACAGTCCATTGAATACTTTTCCTGACATTGATAGTAGTGTGATGCCTCCATAGTTCTTCTTTCTTTGATATCTCGATCAGATATCACCCGTTCCGGAATGCTGGTATTTGTTCTTCATCCCAAATCTTTCAGAATAGAGCACAAAGCATCATTGCAGTTTACTTTATATCTGACCACGGTGCTTCAGTTGGAATGCTGTCTGATCCCGTTCCCTCAGCCCTCTTAATTTCTGTGATGATCTTGTTGATTCATTTGATTGTTGATGCGGCAGAATCTATGGTGAGATCTGTACGTGTTGCTTCAATGTTTAATGGATTCAGTTTGTCTGGTGTACTGAAGAGCTCTTCAAATTGTATTCCCCACTTACTGTTGTGTCGTTGAATCTCATTGATTAGACAGCCTTTTTATCCTGAAATTGTCTCTCTAGTCTTCTGTATTTTACTGTTGACGTTTTTGCTGTATCATGAAGTCCTCTTATATTTTCTCTTCCCATAGCTTTTACTGTCATAGTCCACAGATTTTCTGTACATTTCCACTGGTCAGTTCTAAGGTTTTTCTGTATAAACCCTTTAAAGTGTCGCTTTTAGACCATATAATTCCTCTTTATTTTCAGTCTTAGCTAGACACCACCAGGTTGTGGTCTGAAGCAACATTGCTCTTCTATCTATTCGTATGTTTTTCATAGACACTTCGAATTTTATAGTGATGCAGATGTAATCGATCTGGTTCTGTGTAGCATATTTCGATTAAATTCACCTAGCTGGATATGAACGTTTGTGTAAGAATATGATGAAATATATAACTACTTCTTTGAAGGCACATATATTTACAAGTCTCTCACCATTTTCGTTTCTTTATCCCAGTTCATGTCTTCTCACTGTCATTACTAATATATTTTACTAATGTTTGCGCCATTGAATCGAACCCTTTATCATATTACCTGTTTCAATATTTGTTCTCACTCTCGTTCTTATGGAGATAAACTATTTAAACTAATGACTAAAATAAAGACAATAATATTAATGTTCATTTTATTCACTGAAGTTTATCATGTTTTTTTCTTCTTATTAACAATATTTTATGCATCATTTAATCCATGTTTACATGATTAATATAAATGCGGAAAATCAGTTCAATGGTTTATTGGATCTTTCAAGGGTTAGGTTATAGGAATAATTGTTTTGTTTAAACCCATTACTTGTATAATACTTTTTTTTGAATACATTCACAATTAATCACATTCATATACTTGACTTTCAAAGCTTTGTGGATTGTGTGATAAGATAAATATGTAATAAGCATCAAAATTGTTAGCGAAACTATAATTTATGAACGAACCAATCAGGTATAAGATAACAGGTCTCAGAGTTTGACACGAAAATCACTGATCCATAAACAGAGTTTTGGCATTATAGTTGATGTCAGTTCGTGATGAAAGCCCTAAGTCTAATTCCTTAACCTTAACCATAAACCGAAAATCATAATTCTAATCCCCTACAATATTTCATAACCCTTATATGGTCCTACTTATTAGGTGGACACTGTCAAAGTCACTTAGGCCTTTGCTCAAATCTCGTCCATAAATTATAGTCTAACCAAATTGTTCGTTTATCGTTAATAAAAGCATTTTTTTGTTCAATAAATTTAAGAAATAAAGTGTAATATATATATTTCTTAAAAAGAAGTTATTCTAGCTCAAGTTTCCAAAAAAAAATCAATCATATGGTGCTATTATGATATGAATAGTATACTCAACACTTACTTTCTATCCATTTTTCTTTTTCTTCTGGTTGACAAACACTATTTACAACAACAACAAAAAAAAACAACAATGAAAACCTATACATAAATGTAAATAGTTTTTTTGTTGTTGAGTGGGTGGATTAATCTATTTAAACATCTACTCATTCCCAAGCATTTTGATTTATTTTGTATCTATAATATTAAGTGTACATATTTATTTTATTTTATTTCGGTATTTTCTTTTTCTTTGTCTTTCACATCATTACAATTCTGAATACAAACTATCTAGTTAAAACTTAAATGAAACACAAGTAAATATTAATTCATCAGAAAATAATTATAAAGTGAATATAATATATTCTTTACATTCAATAGATCATTTTAATGTCTTTGGATCATACAAGAAAACGTTCTAATTCATTAGTTCCAAGAATTGTAGAAAATTTACCAAATGATCCAGTAACTGGACAATCAATTTTATTTAGAACAATATTCAAAGGAAGAGATCATACAAAAATTATTGATCCAGCAGGTTTTTGTGATAGTAAAGCAAGTCAATTATTAATAAAACATTTACGAAAAAAACGTAACTATGGTTATGTATATTGTTTAATTGATCGAATACGATTTGAAAGAAGAAGTCGTTCAAAATTATTTCGTAATCAAATTTTTTATCATGATATTAAGTATATTTATTTTTTTTCAAATTTACCAAATGTTTTTATGCTGGCATTGAATGATGAAAAAGAAAGACGTGTTTATGAAACATATTCAGTGAATACAATGGAAGATAGAAATAGAATTGCAGAACTTACACAGAATAAAAATTCATTTGGAAAATTAAGAACAAGTATAACTAGTCAAATGATAAATTATGGAAATGATATTTTGGAAAATGGTCATATTTCATTAGAAGGAGAAGATGAAACAGAAGGTGAAAATGGATTTGAAGAGGAAGAAAACTTTCATATGTATAGAAACAACAAAAGATATAGTCATGATTCATTGCATAGAATTAATACATTAGCTAACGGCCATTCTGAATCTTATGATAACTCTAAAACAACTGGACATTTGGAGAATGCTTATACAAATGGCTACTTAAATCAATCAAATATACCAACATATTATAAAACGAATACAGTATCACATGCAATAAATTCACCAACTCATCAATCTTACTCTAAACAACAAAACAGATCGTTTACGGAACGTACACCTTCTCCAACAGATTATTTCGTTATGCAATATCATGGAAGAAATCTACATAATAATCAAACAATAAGTACACATTCACCATTTAAATACAATGCAAATGGAAGTTCTATACCTATAACTAGCAGTGAACCACTATTAACAAATACTCCTATAAGAGAAGACTGTCCAATATATTTCTATGTTCAACGTAGACCTAGTAAACCGGAAATACAAATAGATGAAACCACTAGAATAATAAAAAGTCCTTCATCAATTACTATATATCGTTAATATATTGTACAATAGAAAAGAAAAAAATAATTATTATAATTACATTTCCTACTAGTTGACTATTATTTATACTTTAAATTAATAAAGGAAACTAACATTATGTTGGTAATTTTTAGAATCTGGTAAATCTTTATCAACTTTTTTTTATTTTTTACTTAATTTTTCAAAACTAATGAAATTCATAATGTCAGATGGGTTTTGTGGAGATTGTAGTAATTTCAATGGTTATGATCATGAGTCAGTTGAAGCTGACGGCCGTTTCGTTCAGTGCTTCCAGGTTTTCCATGGTGGTCTAGCTTCAACTGACTCATGATAATAACCATTGAAACTCATAATGAACAAATGAAAAATTTAAGTTTTAATTGTATCATTCCGGTTGTATGAAAAAAGAGTAGCATAAACTAAGTCAAACATCTAATTAAATATGAGTGAGGGGGTTACAATTCAAAACAAAGAAGTCATCTAATTAAATGTGAGTGAGGGGGTTACAATTCAAAACAAAGACGTCATTTAATCAAAAGTGAGTAAGGGGGTTACAATTTAAAACAAAGTCATCTAATTAAAAGTGAATGAAAGGGTTATAACTCAAAATGAAATAAATTGATTATGAAATATTCTTCCAAAGCTTAACTCATAAGTCTCTTCTGTGGTATAGGGTTTAAATGAAGTGCAAATTTTAAACTACTGTGTATTAAATACGTAATAGTGATGGACAAAAGAAGTTGCGAAACTGAGAATATAAGTGAATTTTAACTAGAAAGACATGAAAATACGTTGTTTAACTCTTAACGGATTAAGAAATTATCAAGATAAACTTATACTTCAATTAATTTATAAGATAATTGTTATGCTTAAATTCAAAACTTATGTATGGAGGTTACGGTTTTTTAAATCAACTGTATCTAATAGTTAATCCCAGTTATATGTGATAAAGTGGCCAGTTATCTTAGCCTGATGATATTCTTTGCTAATATATGTTATAATCAACCATTCTGTATGTAGTTCATTTCATCTCATAGAAAATAGTTAAGCTTTAGTTGTGTTATTAGATTCTGATGAATCACTTAGATAAAAGATCTTTTCAGATACGTTTCATTATCTTGTATGAATTACCTTTGTACAAATTAGTTGTGCAGGCTCTTATCATACAACGCTGCCAAGTGGTAGTCACTATTATTCTCAATTCACATTATAACTGGTTTACGCATTTTATCAATGGTTAGAATTTTTCTACATCTTGTTACTAACTATTTTTGGTTTGTCAAAAATCACACTTTAAAGTGACTTATAAGCTTCTGTTTTCGGGATAAGATAGGGGAAATGTGACTTCTTTTGAGAACTCTCCTTACGTAATGATAACCATGATATTAAATCTGTATTTAAATAAACTGAGTTGTAGTGACTTTGTTTCGTTAATCGATCACCTCAATAACCGTCATAATATAAATTTAAATTTAAAATTAAAAGGCAATGAAATGTGGCAACTACTCTTTATTAGCGGATAGCACACATCACAAACCTATAAGCACATCAAGCGGATTTGATGATTAGAGGCGAATATGCACATTTCAGCAAATACATAGACGAATTTATAGTCAAATTACATAGAGGCACAGCAAGGCAAAACAAAGGCTAGTAATTGGATTGGCGTACATATATACACGAGGAAGAGAATGAATCATCGAGTGATATTTAAGCGGTCAACATTTTAGCTAGAGACTTTCATGTTATCTAGTGATCATAACGGTACAAATAAATATGCGAATTGTTACAGTTCTAATAGCATTGTCTGTTAAGTAAGTCAATAAAAGTGTTTAACTAAAATGGTCATAACCGAAATTGGTTGTAGGATAGTTGCTATAGTGTAACCGGAAGATTATAATATAACATTATTCATCCATTAAATAATGTGACCTATCAAATGATACATAGAAGTAATAATGGGTTTCTTTCATTTATCATTATTTCATAAGTCATAGGCGTTAACAAACTAACGATTTATTGGGGTTTAAACAATTGACTGTATCACCACACTAATTCCATGTCAACTATCTTATCAAATTTTATATCATTTTGAATAATCTACAGGTGAAAACTGTGTTGGCAAGGAAATTGTCTTAGTTTCTTATAGAAAACTTGATTTCATTTTAGAATAGTTCCAGAACAACATGGCAGACAATACTGAATATAAATTAAGATTTCAGAATACAGTACATGTTATTATATAGTTTTTTTCAGTCATTAACCGTAGTGGACTATGAGCATTAATTAAATATGATACTAGTATAATGCGCAGTTATACAGAAACACTGATCCAAAATTTAATTAAAAACATTTGTTTTGAACTTCAGTAGTCAATATGTATTGTCACCTAATTATTTTTTGGAGTAATTCTAAAAAGAATGGTCTACACTAAATTATAAACACCATATTCAGTTTCAATGGATCAATCCGAAATACTTTTAAACATATACAGTAATCACTTAAGCACTTCGGTAAGAAAACCTTTTTTTAAAGAGGTATTAAATATGCCCTAACATTTCGCCACAAATAGTCCGAATATTGAATAGAATTTGTTTTATATATGATAATCAGTAGTTGGTACATAAAATAAATGGATAAACGACGTGTACAATTGGTTAATCTCTGAGTAGTGAACAATGTCGTTCTTATTGCTGATAGAAGTATACCGGTCAAGTTGGAAGGCGGATACTAGTCTAAGTGACTTGATATCGCATGGACTATGTTGAAATGATGGTTGCAGGTAATCGAAAAGAAACCCTGGATCTCAGTCCCACAGGGGATCAATCGCGGCCCGAATGGCCTAGTGGTAACGTCTCTGACTGTGGAGCTGAGTGACACGAATTTGAATCTGCTAGGGAGTGTCCATTCTCTAAAGATTACTGGTACACCTTGCCGATTAGCACAAAATAGTAGGAGACCTAGTTTCAGAGTTCTTTGTCGACTAACTCCAACCATCACCTTACGCGAAAACATATTTAGCAAACTTATCGCATCAGTTTTTTAAATGCAATCACTTTTCATCACAATGATTTCAGTTTCAGAACCAAAAGGTCCTACTTATGTATATTGCGTTAAATGATATTTCCGGGTTAAAAGTTGAATGTATTTAGTGCTATTGTGTTGATTTGATTTATTTAATTGTTAACCATCCATTGCCTTTCTATACAACGTAAACCTCCATCATGGGGCATTTTCCTTAAAATAACAACGAAAGTAACGTAATTTAGAAAATGCAATAACGCGAAATATCTATGCCTCATGTGAAACCAATGAAATAGATAAAGTTATGTATTATGGTACATAATTAAAAAATTGGCAGACAGCACTTAAGGTTACAAATGGATCCAAATCAATTCTACATCAGGTTTCCATGATGACATATCAGTTTACACAAACATGAATGATTACTATATTCATATTTCCCTTCAATTTTTTTTCAACTTCACAAGACAGAAACTATGTTGAAATGTAAAACATTTCATAAATCTAAACTCTGTTCTACTATTTTGCAATTAAGTCCTTATATTCTGATAAACACATTTATTAGTCTGTACCAAGCACACCTCTTATGTTTGAATTGGATTATATCTTCATATAAACTGAACGTATTATTAATAGTTAGACGGAACTTGATAAAGTACAATGTTTAATGAATAAATAAATCATAATAATAGTTTATATTCTGAAAATAATAATTACAGAATTCACGCCAGTTTACAGGCATGATCAATTTGATATAAATAGTAACATTAGATGTACAGAACAAACATGTGGTGGAAGAAAGTTTTAAGTATACTAGTTCAGTAATTGTTTAGGTAGTACATGTATTACAGCGATCCAATGCATCAGCCGGGAACTTTTAATATTTTTTAAATGGACAGACTGTTGATTTAGGAACGATGTAATTAAGGTCATTTCGTGTGGCAGATCGAATTAATGATAATTATCTACAACTAGAGAAATTAAAACGAAAACAGAGATCACGGAAAAACAAAGCAATAATTATCAAAATAAGTCAATCAGGTCTACCAAAATGCATGTGTCATGTGATACAGTGATATACTGTTTATGTTATTCAAATTAGTTAAACTTGCTGGGGACGGTGTTGACATAAAGTGACAGCAAGTAGGTGGTTTTACTTAGGGAATGCACTAATAAAGATGGCTAAACATTTAAAGTTTCTATAATATTACTTGTGGAATGAGATACACTTACAGGTGCTAGAACATTCAATGCATTATCAGAGGAGCAGTATGCATCGATGCAGCGAACAAATAATGGGAGTGATTTTATCGTACGGATAGATTGAGGTAGGTTATTCCAGAGTCTAGAAAATTTACAGGTAAAGTGATTCGTATAAAGAGATGATTTAGAATAAGTTCGTTCCACTAGTGCCAAGGAATTACGGATGTCATAATGAGAGGTTTCTGCATATTGAATCGCGTGATCGGATATAAACGATAGTTTATGAAGTAGTTTGAAGAAAAAGATAAGATTTAGTTTGAGTCTCCTCCTCCATAAAGGGTCTAGCCCAAGTTTATTACATCTAGAACTATAAGTTAAGGTACAATCAGCTCCAAGAATACGAAGTGTAAATCGTCTCTGTATTGATTCCAGCCTTAATGTATCCTTTATGCGCTCACTGCTAAAAATAAACCTGCAATATTCTAGAAGAGGTCGAGCACAAACTTTGTACATTGGAATACGTGACTCATTGTTGTAAAGATTTCGAGTTATGTGACCTATTAGACGTTGAGACTTAGAGGTTTGTTTTAATATCTGTTCTGTAAACGACAAGTCTTGGGAGTATCTAAGACCTAAGTCTACTACTGTATATAGCCTAGATAACACTTCTCCAATTATGGTAAGTTCTAGGTTGAGTGATGTATCGCCGAAGCAAATCCATCCACATTTAGCCGTATTAAGCTCCAGTTGCCATTTTAAGCACCATTGTGCTACCTTGTTAAGCTCCATGATGTTGCAATTTTGCATATTTTTCAGCTCATGTGGAAAAAATGAATTTACTACTTTAAGATCATATGCATATAGAAGGGGCTTACCCACACAAAAACTCAC